GACAGACACAAATAACTTGTTAGTCTTTTGTTTTTCAAACTTAAGTTTAAACAGGGTGGCACGGTGGCTCAGTGGTTAACACTGTTGCTTAACAGCAAGAAGGTTGCTGGTTTGAGTCCCGGATGGGTCAGCTGACATTTCTGTGTGGAGTTTGCATGTTCTCCCTATATTGACGTGGGTTTCCCCCACAAGTCCAAACACATGCGCTATAGGTGAACTAGTTAAGCCAAATTGGCCGTAGTGTATGTGTGCAAGTGTGAATGAGTTTCCCAGTACTGGGTTGCGGATGGAAAGGCATCCGCTATGTAAAGCATTTGCAGGAATAGTTGGTGTATCATTCCACTGTGGTGACACTTGATAAATGAGGGACTAACCTGAAGGAAAATGATTGAATGAAGTTTAAACACTGGGGTCGGCAAATAACTATTTTATTAATTTATAAGTTATTCATAGCAGTATAGGGCTGGGTGGTGTGTTGAGTTTGTATCATATATCTGTGTATTTGTATGAACTCTAAAATATGAGGCAATACCATTTACATTGATGCACAATAGTGTAGGAGCGCATCTGAAAAACAGTAGAGGACATGGAGTGAGCTGCTGCAGGGGAAAGTGCATAATTCAGTTTGTCCTAAATATGAGTCATGCTTTATATTAAGAGCTTGAAAATAACGCGTGAGATACTGTTAACACATTTTTGAAGTGGCAGATGCTCTGACAGATGCATGTGCTGCTGCAGACACACTACTTGTGCTGTTTCAATGTGGTAGAGGTGTGGTTTTTCCACAGTGCGTAAATTATACAGTATTTCACATGTCTATCATTCATCTGTACGTTTTAGGAAGCCTTGAAGCTATTATTTCTGCTTTAAAAAGTATGTTTTCCTTTTTAGAAACAGCTTTTTTGAAAACTTAATTTACTACTACAGTTGAAGGCAAAATTATTAACCCTCCTGTGAAATTGATTATTTTTAAAATATTTACCAAGTGCAAGACCAATGACATTTCCCACAGTTTTCACTATTATATTTTATTTCTACAGAGAGCCTGTTTTTGGGGGGCTGGAGTGAAAGCATTTTTTAAATATTTTATAGTCATGTTTAGGGTGGATATTATTAACAGGACTTGTCTAAGTAACCTAATTATTCAGCATTTTAACTGCACTTTAAGCTGAAAATCAGTATTTTCTAAAATGTTAAGTACTGACATAATGACAAAGGCAAAAATAATTAGTTATTAGAAATTACTTATTAAACTGTAATGTTTAAAAATCTTAAAGGGCCATAAAACCCCCCTCTTTTGATACACATAACCACATTTGTTATATCATTACAAAGATAATCATGCTTAAACACTACATAAAGAAGACTTCTCTCCTCCTGAATTCCCGGGATAACTGTGCAGCAGGTCTCCTGCCCTGTCTATTCCAACCATTAGCCCTGCTGGTAATCTGGAGATTTTAAACATAGGCAAACACAGCAGCACGGATATAGGCGATGTGTCTGAATGGTAATAAACTCAACTGATAAAAGAAAAAGTCAGCCATTCTAAAATTCTCGTACTGCGATTTCGACACAAATCTTTGTTGCAAACCAACAGCTTTGACACAGTGACGTTAATCAAGTTATGTGCTATGACATGTAAAACAGGATCATGAAAGAAACATTCAAAAAGCAACTCATGTAAACACCTTAATGTTATTATTCTCTTAATTAGATTAAGGCAAATAATTCGATTACTGATGTCCATATAAACGTAATCACTGGGTCTCGCTGCTTGGCAGGTCTGTCTTGCTTTCGGAAAGCACGTGCTCTCACTAATAATTAAGAAGCAGGGTCTTCTCATAGGATAATAAAACTCAGCTATGAATAATAATGAGAAATCGAGATGTCATCACTGGACAGGCAGATCAGTGCTACATCACCAATTTTGATCCTGCCCCAAAAAAGATTTTAAACCCGGAAGATGAAATTAGCTGACAAAAATTATCCAGTTTCTCCCTCCATTAAAGATAACAGTTGCTAACATTGTATTAACTGATGCTCAACACACACACACATCTGTTAAAATCTCAAGAAAAAGTACTCCAGGTTTTTTGAAACTTGAAACCGCACTTAGGAAATAATAAAAAAAAAAACTAAAATTTTACTGATAAATTTGCCACTGTGATTTAGCTTATCAGTTTATTCACTCTATTTGTTTTCATATCCATTAATATGCGCAGCATTTTTTAGGACAACATCAGGCATAATCGAAAAAAAGTCAAACAAATACAGATTTTGTTAATCCAAATAAAACATTAAAAAGATTTTGCCTCACTGTTTTTCACATTCTTCATAGTATTATGGAGTATTTGATTTCTCACGCAGCATCTAGTTTCCACCAGAATGGTTAGCATTTTTTTCAAGCCTGGGATCTCTTTTCTGAAAAGCAGTCAATGAGCAGTATGTACTTGCCTTGCTACACTGAGCTTCTGAAGTGTGCACATAAACACCGTGGGCCATAGTGAAGGATTTACGCAGCTGACTCTTTTAGGTTTGAATTTCATTTAAAATATTTCCAGATTCACACTATATACATACTATATATACTTTTTTGGTCAGGAAGTAAGTTAAATTCAAAGGTGGTAGTACCCACTCAAGCAGTATGCAATATTGGATAGACTGTAGAGTCTAGGCTTATGATGGTAACATTTTCTTGTTGTGATTAATGACTGAATCTTTTATCATGATCTGCAGTATTATCATATTATCGACCTAAGTTGCAAAAAGATTCCGTTTGAACAGGTATAACAGGCCAAAAATTGTTTAGTGTATTGTTTCATTGTAAATGAATTTATGAAGGTTTTAATCCAATTAAATTGCAAAATCATGATAAAAATTATTAGGTAACACTTTACATAAAGCCTTGTTAGTTAATGTTACTAAATGCATTAAAATCAACAATGAGCAAATTTATTAGCTATGGAGTTAAAGTTGGTTAAAAATATACAACTGAATTAATATAATTAGACCCTCACGGAATCTGCGCATGCAGTAATTAGCAGATTTCCACAGATTTTTAGCCTATCAAGTCTATTTATTTAGTTGTGTGTAAATATGTATAAAAATTGTTTTAATTAATTTCAGTAATATTATTGATTAATATGAAAATGTTCATAAGATTTATTTACAATACAGTTTGTAAAGTAATATCTTCTGTCTATAGTAGATATATTATATGAGAGACTTGCGGTGTTTACCAAATAAGTGGATCTAATAGAATTTGCATTGTAAATATTAAACAAAAGTAAAAAAATAAAAATTATTCAATATATCAAGTTTTTAGTTACGATACACCCAAAATCAATTCGCATGAATCCACAGATTCTTTACAATACTCTGCACAGAAATAGCAAAAAATATCCAGAGTGTGCCTGGCCCTAGTTATAAGGCATCAGCTATGAAAAAACACCTAAGGTGTAGTTAATGTTGGTTAGTTTAACTAAATTCATGACGAAAACAAAGTTAACAAATGGTACCTTTTTGTAAAGCGTTTAACGAATAACAGCTCCATAAATAGTTACAGAATTATCAGTCAATATTTTAGCGTTTATCAGATTAACATGTCAAAAAGTGAATGTTTGTAAATACACAGTCTATTAAGTTTTCAATCTTTGGATGCTTTGATAAACAAAACTGCAAATACAGTCTGAATGTTTTTAAAAGAAACACTATCGTGATATTTTGAAGTATAATATCATGATATACAGTTGAAGTCAGAATTATTAGCCCCTCTTTGATTTTAATTTTTTAAAATATTTCCCAAATGGTGTTTAACAGATCAAGGAAATTTTCACAGTATGTCTGATAATATTTTTTTAAAGTCTTATTTGTTTTATTTCGGCTAGTGTAAAAGCAGTTTTCATTTTTTAAACACCATTTTAAGGTCAAAATATTAGCCACTTTGAGCTATATTTTTTCATTAGTCTACAGAACCCTAACCTGCCTAGTTAACCTAATTAACCTAGTTATGCCTTTAAATATCACTTTAAGCTGTATAGAAGTGTCTTGAAAAATCTAGTCAAATATTATTTACTGTCATCATGTCAAAGATAAAATAAATTCGTTATCAGAAATGAGTTATTAAAACTGTTCTGTTTAGAAATGTGTTGAAAAAAATAATCTCTCCGTTAAACGGAAATTGGGGAAAGAAATAAACAGGGGGGGGGGGTAATAATTCAGGGGGCAAATAATTCTGACTTTTGCTGTAAGTATAACATCAACATATAAAAAGTCAGCTTGTACATTATTGCAGTATATTGAATATCTACAAATGTTTAGTCTTTTATTTTACTTTAATCTACTTGGCAACCACCTCTAACACACTAGCATTTGCACAGCTCCATGTTCCATGGTCAAGAACTGCTTGCTTTTTCTTTAGTATTTTAGAGTCTGTCTATTATTGGTTCAAAGAGTAAACGCTGGCTCCATCGGTGACCTCTTTTAAGGTCACCGAGCTGTAGTTGTAGTCTCTGAACGGCTCTGTCTGTCATGAAGATTAAAGCTTTTATTTGTGTGGATTGCGTTTGCGGTCTTTGAGATGGATTTGTTTATTTGCTGGAGTCTGTATCTTGATTGCCTGCTGTGTGTGTGTGTGTGTGTGTGTGTGTGTGTGTGTGTGTGGTTGCTCTGCTGCGTGTTTCTTTTGGTTCATTAACTGTTGAAGATATTATAGCACTTTTGTTTGCTCCCAGACCTGACAGCCCCACTCTAATTGAAGCAGTAGATCAGCGCTGCACACGGTTTTAAACTAACCTGGGGGAATAGGCTCTGATTTCTGCGGCTCTGTTTATGTTTTCCTGAAGGTGTCACAGAGGAATTTTCCCTCTTCTCTTTTATATATCTCTTTCTCTCTCACCCTCTCTGTCTCTGGCTTGCTCATCCTGCTGTACTAACCACTGAGCCAGGGCCACAGGCTCGGTACAGTAGTGAGTAACACGTGACTCTTTCCATTTCTAAAGGGAGCAACTGCCATGGACCGAAGAGAAACGACCTGGATTTAGATTAATATCACAGCTTAACAGGTGACCTTTGACTTTCAAATTCCTCTCTCACAGATCTCCTCTGGACCTCTTTTGTTTTGTTTTCCTGTTGTCATTTCTTGCAGATCTCCTTTATTATCTTCTTTCTTGTGGTTTAGATCTTTATGTACCAATCAAATCTTCGAATACAAGCAAAATGATTTCAAGCGAATCCGGGTTTTTGTTTTCTAACTAATATTTCACTGTACCAAACTAATCCAAATCAGGGATCTTTATTTCTACTAATCCGTTTTTTTCCCTCCCATCCCCACACGCATCATTGTGTTGTAGTACCTTGAATTTCTGCTCTACAAATAGCAGCAACAGCACTGTTATTATTGTTTTGTGTGACTTAAGAGTGGTTTAAAGGTCGCAGCAGATAAAGGATGTAAAGCGGAGCGAGGTGCTGCTGCTCACTGAAGTGCTCTTGAAAAAGAGCTCATCATGTGCAGTTGCTTAATAAAGGCAGTGAGTGAAGGCAAAGGGTCATGTGGAGTTGCATTGCTGCATGAGTATTTTTTTTGGTTCTGCTATGATGGCTCACTGAGCGATTTTTGTTTTGCTTCTTTCGTCCTCTCCTTTCCTTCTGCCACAGAACAAACTCTGACTCAGCTCTGCACACCAGCGCCATGAATCCAAACCCACAGGATCCTTTTGGCATGAACCAGCAGATGGGCAGAGGACCACCTCAGCGGAACGGTGAGCACTACTAGTGATGTAGTACCTTGTATTTACGCTCTAAAAATAAAGGATAAAGTGGTTTCATGGAGGACCTTTAAAGTCTGCGTAAAACTGGAGCTGCATTGGAGTTCCTTATTGTCATGCACATACAACGGGGAAAATATGTATTGAAAATGTCAACATTTTTCTCAAAAAACATATTTCAAAAGGTGCCTTTGACTTGAGATTTTCCCCGGATGTTGGTAACAACCAAAGACATCCATGTATGCAAACAAAAACAAATCTAATTAGTTTACAACTGAAGTTTTGTGTAATAAAATGAAAAAGTGCTGAACACATGAAGAAAGGGAGGTGTAGAAAGGCAGTGAAAGCCCAGACAGCAGCTGAAGTCTATCAGTAGTTCTTCAGCAACCCTCTGCCCTTCATCAATGTAAATGAATATAAGCTGCTTCAGTCCAGTATCTACATTAGCAGGATGATGAAGATGAAACAAGGGTGGACATTTCAACAAGAATAGCTGCATTTCCACTATCTCGTCTGAAGCGAGCAAGCTAGAGCGAGCCAAGGTCAGTCGTGTTTCCACTGTCACTTCTGGGGCATGATCGGGCCAAAGCGGGGCTTTCTCAGGAGCGCCGGCCTTTTTTCGGCACAGCTGGGTGGAGTAAAAGGAGAGGCGGATTTGCCCGAGTCTGGTAAAGATGGCATGCCGTCATCACACTAGTTTTCTGATTACACCCGAGTTTATGCGCCAAATAAATAAATAAAAGAAAGAAAAACGTATAGCAGGTCAGTTTTACATAGGCTATTCCATAAAAGACCTTATAGGCAAGGAGTCTTTTTGCTTATGATCACCCTTATGTTTCCCTTTTAAATGTAAGGCTGTTGCATAAAATAATAAAGTTTAAATTTTTTAAGTGACTTTGCTGCGTCCTCTTTGATGTTTCAATAACGCATAATGATCTTTACACCATATTAAAGACACAGCAGCCAGTAAAGGTTGTCGAGAGTTTTTGTCAAGTTTAAGTGGTGTGTTTGTGCATGATACGTGCGCGTTAGATGCCTGCATATGTGTGAGAGACCGGGCAAAAAAGAGCTCGCTTGACAGCCCTGTTGATGCCGCGAGCGGCTTCTTTCTTTTTTTATTGATTTTGTAGATAATACACAATATGAATACAACAGAAAGACAAAACTTTACAAATTATGAGTCCACTTTTGTATGCTCAAGACAATAGTGTCATGTCTTGATAAAATAGCCTTAGCTATATTAAAATAATTTAAAGAGTTACAAATATCGGATATAATAAAATCCCATTGAATAAATAAACCAGTAAAAATAAACAAAAACCAACTATAACAATGTAGGTATATACAATACAATACACAAATTAAACAGTTTTAAGCCATAGGCCTATATAACTTTCATTTTACAAAAGCCTATCTGGAAAAAAAAGATTTTAGATATTTTCTAAAAACAATAAACACCGGAGAAGGTTTGAAATAATTTTTATGAAGTATTTAGATACGATGATATTATTCAAATCGTGCAAACGGAGCATTTTTTGGGTGCGTGAAAGCAGAAATGACCTTCTTTCCTGTCATCCAGTCCTGCGCAGCGCCGCTTTACAAATGCATTGAGGAAAACTGCTAGTAAAAAATGTATTCTGTGTCCTCAAACAAGTGTTTGTTTTTATATGACGTAGTAAAATTTAAAACTGAATGATTTTAAATTTAGAACTTTATTAGTGAATAGCTGCTGAGCTCAGCGAAATATCTTATAACTTGCTCTTATGTGCTGTAACACTTTCGTTCACTTAAGATCACTGAATAATATGCAACATCCTTAAATAAAGGGGTATAACCTATTAAGTGTCATTTGCCTGACAGTGCAAATGCCGCTAATCATCCAAAATACAACCAAGGAAACTCTCAAATGCTTTCAGAGAAAGAAAAGACTTGAATTGGACTTGAATCCAATGTAAAACAAAAAAAAGATTTAATAGACAAAACCCACAGAACCATCAAGATTTTTACACTGTTGAAGTCTGTGGAAAAACTCGCACCTGGGCAATGCATGTGACTTCATTCTGCATATGAGAGGCGTCTTTAAGCTGCCATCGCCAAATCAAGCCTTTTATATACAGTAAAGTATTAAATGCATTTCAGTAGTTCAGCACTTTCTCCTTTTGTCATTCCAGTCTTATTACACGTAACAATTTTTATTTTGTTTTGTTTTGTTTTGTTTTATTTAAATGTTTGGATTTTTTGGATTTTTACTAAAATCTGGTTCAGTTCCATGTCAACAGCTCCTTTAGAATATATTATTCCCAGGAAAAAAGATGACGAGTTCAATACTTATTTTCCCTGCTGTACATCCTTGTTACTTCTCGAACAAGAAACAATGTACAAAATCAAGTTCTGACCTACATCAGCAATTCACTTGATTGTTGTTTGTTATTGCTGTAATCTCATGCGAGTGACAGGTTGTTCTGCCTTTGCACTATTAAATATGTCATCACAGAAGGAAAGAGAAGTTATTACGAACATCTAGTTTTAGATTACAATGACACATGAATTTCTTTTTTTGAAGCTGTGAAAGGACATATCATTAATAATAAATCTGGCATATTGCAAGAAATTGACCTTTTATAAGCTGGCTTTAATAGTCCCTATTAAATCCCTGCTTTTCTAAAATTCATTTTCCTTGACTCTTATTTTTTTATGAGCACTTCCATGCAAATGTCAACCTTGCCATGAAGTTTTCAACAAAATGCAGAAACCTTTTTTTTTTTTTTTTTTTTTCGGGGTAAGCAAGAATTTTAGAGTACTTTAGAAATACTCTAAAATGCATCTGCCAGTGTTTTCAAATTATTCTATTTAATTTACCAAAGTCACACAAGTGGCAATTTCACATCCGTCACATCCATAACAGAAAGACGTCACATCCGTAACGACACTTTTTCCTCATAAAAGTGAAACTATTAAATTAAATAAAATCATTTTTGTTTTATAGAGAGCCCACTCTTTTGATTGAACTTTTTGAACTCTTTATCCTTTTCATTGTCTTTGTTTCTTTTGGGTTGTACAGTTTAATTCACTTTCTACAAAGTATGTTGTATACTGCAAACCTGCAAACTTTTTTTGTCACATCCATAACGCATGTTTATTTTCCTCATTTAAAGTACAAAACATGTTTACAGATTGATGTTTTTCTGGTCTCATAACTCTGTGGTCAGTTGTTCTGGAAAATAGAAGCAACAGTTTCAATATAATGTTAACATTTACTTTCTATGCGAATGTATGTTTTGCAAATGTCAAATCCATAACGCTAGAATTGCTCTTATATATTTTTTCTGTGTTTTTTTATAGTAAAAAGATTTCATCAAATTTAACTATTGTTGTCATTAAGAAAAATGTTATAGTAAAAAGATTTCATCAAATTTAACTATTGTTGTCATTAAAAAAAAATGTTTTTTTGTAAAAAAAAAAAATGTTATAGAAATGTTCTTCCAAATGAATAGTTAACCTAAAAAATACATTTTGTCATCATTTATACGCTCATGTTGTTCCACAACTCACAAGTCTAGAAAAAACCCTTCATTGAAACTCTATTCACCTGAATTTTTTTTAAGCTTGAAATTTCTCTGAATGTAAAGGTAATCTACTTTACTCGAGTGGTTAAATCCCAATCAGTGATACAATTTGTACAAGAATATATATTTTTAAATCTTTGTTGGCTAATTATTCTTATTTGCACATTGTCATCTGATGCACAAAGGTTTTTCTTTTTTAAACAAATCACAACTTCCTTTTAGAGCATTTATTTGTAAAAGAGTATGAGCCAGTATAATACCTACTATAGAGTCACATTTATTACGGCCATACTGTCATTTCACAGGACATTATTGTGTGGCATAACAGTGTAGTTGAAATAAATGCAAGGGGTCAATTGGATTGTACATTGTCGGTCATGAAAGATAAATCAATGATTTATTGCAGACCGTATTGCAGTGTGTTTGCACGACACAGCTGGGGCTCACTGTCATGTTGTTTATCTAGTTGTCTTGGTTACAAACACTGGCATTTCAGATGGTATTCTGAAAATGGCTGAAACTCAGTCCAGAGCTCTTTTAAAGCCTTTTAAAATCCACCGTAGCTGCCTGGTTGATCTTTTTTTTTGTTCAACCATCATTAAAACAAAACAAAACAACAACAACAAAAAACAGAATTTGTGTGGTGGTGTCATGAACACAATTTAACAAAGATATTGGTCAAATAGAGGTCAAGTTTGGTTTCTTAGAGTGTAAGTTAAAGGGTTAAAAGATGTTTCCTCTACCATTAATTCTCAGTGATTTATTTCTCGAGTGGTTGAAAGATAATTCATGTACAGTACAGCCCCATGAGCTTTACAGATGTCATCGTCTGGCGCACACTTCTCCAACACTCACCATAGCCAAAGTTCACATACACACACAGCCTTGAGGGTTTGTAAGACTGTAGGATTATGTCATTGGGTGGGATGATCTAACTTCAGTTCTGCATTAGCAGTGCAAATTGTTCATCATTATATCAGTGCAGTTCTGGCAAAGATTGTTATGGTTATCCCAGTACATTTATACATCAATAGATTTTTATTTTTTTACTTCATTGTATCAGCAGTTCCAGTGCTTGCTTTCATTCACCTATTTTGAAATATCATATAAAAGTATGCTTAATGGAAACACTAAGATGTGCATAAATTGTGCACATATATATAAATTTTATTTAAATTTGATATGCACAAATGACTAGAATCATTTTTATTTGAATAAAAATGTGCATACGCTACAGTGACAACACATTTACAGAAAAAATTCCTGCATGTGCATCAAAAAAAGTTTTTTTTTAATCTTTTTTTTTTATAAATATTTTCGGCTTGGTTAGCACTAACGGGTCTGGGCGGGACAGAGAGTCGCGTGAGCCCAATGGAGCGATTGTTTACAAGTGTGGAGTCCCGTGAAGGAGCTCGGATGGAACGTTTT